TTAGATGTTTAAAAGTTTCTCTTTCTTTGAATGACTAACATAGACAACAAGATTCGAGAGTGTAGTGAACACTGCTTTTTAAGTAACAAATCTCTACAAATTGGCTGTTTCTAATTTGTCTTACAAGTATATTACTCTCCTCTCTCAATTTTAAGTGGTTTTGTTCAAAATACAGTAAATGATCAAGAATATTTAATCTTTTTAAACAAAAGTCATATTAGGATGAGAAAAATATTTCTCTTGAATGTTTGTTGTTCAACATTCAAAAAGTTATATTGAAATGTAATTAGAGGCTTTACTTTGAACATTGAGCTAATTTCTTAAAATACTCCATTCCCAAGTTCATTGGTTCTCTCGCTGTCTGTCAGCAATCATTTGGAATGAAGACTAGGAATGGGTAGGAGGATCAAACTAATGTGATAGCATCCTGGATCTGCCAGTGGTGGGTTGTGATATTAAAATACAGCTGGGATGTGTGTGTGAGACACAGGGACAATCCTTTTTCTTTGAGGTGGGCACAACATGGCACATGGTCAGGAATGATCCAGGGAATTAATTTGAACGTCTTATATCTTCAGACCAAAAGAAAAACTGATGACTATCTGCCACTCCTTTTGTGAATGAGCAAACTTTCATGTTGAACACCATGAAATCTGCACTTGAGGGTAACAGGGGCACAGAATGTACCTGGACGAGGTTCTTCGATGTGCTTCGCCACTTCATATTGCACTGACCCATAATCTTAGAAGGGAAGATTAGCTGTCCCTCTGACATCAAATTCCATTTACTGCAGATTGTGTTGTGTTGTTGAAGGTTAATTCTGATGGGCCAAATTTAACCTCATAATAAAAATGAACTTAAAATCTTCCCAGACTAACAAGACAACTTGTTCTGCAGCTGATCAAAATGTAACCACTTTCCCACTGAAATGTTCAATTTACATTTGTCTTCCTTTTGAACCAACTTTAACTACATACATTCTTATTCTATGACTTCATATCTTAGCCCATAACCAGGTCTTTGGAAGTCTATTGAAAATTAAGTAAAATCACTTGAATTTCACTTCATCATTTTCATGTTTTTGGAGAAGCTTTATTTAATTTGAGCCTCTTTAATCTCAGCAACTAGAATGGACAAAAAATGCTGGTCTCTAGTGATGTCTACTTTCTTTGAGAAATATTTTAAAAATGCTACCTGTATTTTTTTAAAAGTTTGAAAATTCACTCCTGGATTCTTTCCAACAACCTCCACTGGAAGTGTGCATATGTTTATATAAGGAGACAATAAAAAGAACTTTCTTGTGAGATCTATCACAGCTGAGTCGACTGTTAATACTTGATTTGAGCTTTGCATATTAGTGGTAACCATCTGAATGAAATGATAGAGGGTAATTAGTGCCTATGGAGCGAGGCGAAAATGGGCCTTTTTCAACTAGTAACGGAAACAAGGGATATATACTTTTGGATAACATTTCAATTAGAGTTCAAAATTTGAACTATAAACTCAAGTAGTTTAAGGTGTTAAGTCCTACTTTCTTTTTTCTTAGGAGTTTAGTGATTCCCTAATAAGTATTCTTTCAATGTAAGATATTGACCATTGTTTTTCTGTGGGGTTTACAAATGAATTTTCTGGTTTCCATTGCCTATAAATATCTTTCAAAATAAAGCTTTAATTAAACTTTACAAAACATGCCTGAAACATCCTTTATTGTATGATCAGTTGCTAGCATGAAGCACAGTATTGTCCATCTATATCATTCTAAAACATTGAAATGTGAACTTTTAAATCGGAAAGAAAGTAGTTGTACAAAATAATAAGACTGCTTAATTTTGTCTATCTTGACATTACATGTCAAAGTATTCACAACAGTTAGAAGATAACTGTCAAAGTTAACAAGCAGTTGAGTTCTTCCTTTAAAGTTTATCTTGTGATAATATATTAACCTTTATTAGCAAATATAACTGACATGAAAGAATTATTTGTTAGAACCCTCTTGTTGCATTTTTGAACATAAGCTTGAAGTTTAACTTTTTCAGGGGCTCCCACAAGCGACGCAATTTTGCTTTCAGAGTTTCAATAATACAATATGATCTCTATCACAAATTGCTGCAGACATGGGTACGTGGAAACTAAATAATGATCTCCATTGATTCATTTCATGGCAGTAATTCTGTTCAGAAACTCGACACATTTTTGATAGAGTTAAAATGTGTTTTCCACAAAATCCAAAAGCTTTATGAATAAAATTTTTGTCTGCAGTTTCTGAAAGATATCTGATCCAATGTACTGGGATTACTATTAAATTTCTATGTGGTAGCTTTGGGAAAATATACACTGTAGATAATTTAAAAATTTCCCACTATCCTTTTATATTACTGTTCCTATCTTAAGTCCATTGGTTCCTTTTGTTCTACAAGTTGCAAAAGTGCGAAGTACCTTCTAGTATCCCTTCTGCCCACTTTGACCAGCAGAAGTCATTCAAACTGATTAGAAACCAGATTTTAAGCAAATTCCTGACGCTGGGACATGAAGATTAACAGTATCATTTCTTACTATTGTGGTCACATTGGCTTATAAAGCAGTAGTGAAGGATCACATTTAGGATCTTTATAACCAGTACTGTTCTTTTTTTTACAGCAGCATTCTTCCAAACATACTTTGGAAAATCTTTTGTGACTGTACAAAATTTGCTAGAAGGTAGGAGTCTGAGGGTGGTGGTAGAGGGTTGCTTTTTGGACTGGAGTCTTGTGACCAGCAGTGTGCAGCAGGGATTGATGCTGGGTCCACAGCTTTTTGTCATCTATATAAATTATTTGGATGTGAATATGGGAGGTATGGTTAGTAAGTTTGCAGATCACATCAAAATTGGTGATGTAGTAGACAGCGAAGAAGGTTACCTCCGAGTACAACAGGACCTTGATCAGATGGGTGGCAATGGCCTAGCGGTATTATTGCTGGACTGTTAATCCAGAGATCCAGGTAATGTTCTGGGGATCCAGGTTCGAATCCCGCCAGGGCAGATGGAGGAATTTAAATTGTTTTTAAAATCTGGAATTTAGAGTCTTACCATGAATCCATTGCCAATTGTCAGGAAAACCGATCTGGTTCACTAATATCCTTTAGGGAAGGAAACTGCCATCCTTCCTTGGTCTGGTCTATGTGTGACTCCAGACCCACAGTAATGTGGTTGACTCTAATGGGCAATAAATGCTGCCCAGCCAGTGACGCCCATATCCTGTGAATGAATAAAATAAAAATACCGAGGAGTGGCAGGTGGGGTTTAATTGAGGTAAACGTCAGGTGCTATGATTTGGTCGGGCAAATCAGTGCAGGGCATATATACTTAATGGTAAGGTCCTGGGGAATGTTGCTGAACAAATGGACCTTGAAGTGCAGGTTCATATTTCCTTGAAAGTGGGATCAGGGTAGACAGGGTCGTGAACAAGGCATTTGGTACACTTGCCTTTATTGGTCAGTGCATTTGAGTATAGGATTTAGGAGGTCATGTTGTGGCTGTACAGGACATTGGTGAGGCCACTTGTGGAAACCAGTTCTGGCCTTCTTGCTATAGGAAGGATGTTGTGAAACTTGAAATGGTTCAGAAAAGATTTCCAAGGATGTTGCCAGGGTTGGAGAGTTTGAGCTGTAGGGAGAGGCTGCATCGGCTGGCACTATTTTCCCTGGAGTGTCGCAGTTTGCGGGGTGAGCCTAATGGAGGTTTGTAATATCATGAAGAGCCTGAATAGGGTGAATAGTCAATGTCTTTTCCGCAGGTTAGGGGAGTCCAAATCTAAAGGCTTAAGGCGAGAGGGGAATGACTTAAAACAGACTTAAGGGGCAACTTTTTCATGCAGAGGGTGGTGCGTGTATGGAATTAACTGCCAGAGGAAGTGGTGGAGGCTGGTACAATGGCAACATTTAAAAAGCATCTCATGGGTATATGAGTAGGAAGGGTTTAGAGGGATGTGGGCCAAATACTAGCAAATGGGACTAAATTAATTCCGATATCTGGTCAGCATGGACGAGTTGGACCAAAGGGTCCGTTTCCGTGTTGTATTTCTCTGACTCTAAATTGACAGATTCCAGTATGAATAAAATGTCATTTTTCCTTTATTATCCCCTCATCTACAAATAGTAACTGAATCCAAAGTAGAGTGTTTGAGGTCCCAATTACTCTTTAAGCTATTCTTGCTTAGTAAACTTTGAGAATTTCCGTAGAATCAATTTCTCCTGAGCATCTTTCAATTTCAACATCTCATTAAACATTAGATGTTATCAAAATTTTCTAGCTCTTCATTCGCTACAACATATACACATAGGTTTCCAAAAATGCCCACCAGGTACCAAGAATTTAGAGTAAACCTTGCTAACTCTTCTCTCCTTGATAAAGGTGAAATTAGATTAAGTGTAGTATTCACCACCATCTTGCCAAAGATCAGCCAATATAAATAGACTAGCAGTCAAACTTGGAACCTTCAAGATTGATACCACTGGTGACATTTTTCCATTAAACTATCTGTGGACTAAATGCAGAAAAATGTCATAACAGTTCTGAAGAAAGGTCATATTAGACTAAAACGTTAGTTCTGTTTCTCTCTCTAAAGATGCTGCTAGGCCTACTGAGTTTCTTCAGCAAGTTTTAGTTCCAGTCTTCAGTATTTGCAATAGTTTGCTGTTTTGATGCAATAAATTTTAACTTGAACAAAATGCAACACTGTGTTGTCTCCCTTGTGTGCAAAACTCTTTTGTTTGTTGCATCTTCCGTCAGTTACTGCAATTGGGAAGGGAGAGGGAGATTCATACATGTTGCTGCTGCTTTCCAAGAATTTGCTTTTTTGCAGCCAGAAGAATGGTGGTCAAGTGCCATGTGCATAGGGGATAGTCAAAGATTTTCTAACTTATTGTTTTTTGTGATTCTGGGAGAAAGCAAGGAGGGGGAGGTAGTGATGCTTATAAAGTTTATTCAATCTTGCATTAAATCTCGCCTGATGCTGCAATGTAGTACTGAGAAGATGTTGCACTCATGGCTTCTGGAATGAGAAGTTAAAGCAAAGCTCTATCAAGCATTCTGCAGATGAACGCAAGCGATCCCGTGGCACCATTGATTAGAAAAGAGAAGTCCTTCCGGAAGTTATGGTCAATATTTATTCCCGAACCAGTACCTGAGACAGTTGATCATCTGGCAACCGTAATGTTGTTCTGGGGGAACTTGCGCGCAAATTTGACTGCCGTTGTTTTCTACTTCAAAAAAAAAACGCACTTGCGCGCCTATAGGACACAGCGAAAGGTTTTAAGCATTGATGCATTACTAGATATACTAAGTTCAAGTTGCTCAAACAGGAGGATCTCTTTGTAATATTGTGTGGTGTGGTAGGGTGTGCCTTTTCTTGGGTCTGTGGTTTGGACTATTGCCTAGTGGATGGGAGAGGGAGCAATGTTCTCGCGAGAAGAGATGAGCAGCCCGTCGCTGTTGGGGAGTAACGGCCATTGCTCTGAGAGGACCCTCAGGTGAGACGCAGAGGAGAAGACGGCTGACAGTCGGTCACACGGGATATCTCCCAACGGCGCGACAACACGCACTCTCACCAACGCGGACACAAACCTAAACTCAAAAGTGGCATCGGCCATGGCGCTTGAGGTGAGCAGGCGCACTGGCATCTGCCCCGGCTGCTGGAATTAACTAATAGCTGCCTCAATTTGACAGAAAGCTGCCTGGTCAGCCAACGGCTCCGATTCCACAGTCTCAAGCTAAAAGTACAACATCGCTCATCAGGTACCCCCATTTTTTTTTCAATTGCCTGTCTCAATTAAGTTAACCTCTCACTTTTATCGTCCGGAACTTAACAACAACTACCAAGTCACTCAGTGGGTGACTTTCGCCTCTGACTCTCAAAGTTCCGGGTTCAAGTCCTCCTCCCGGGCTTGAGTAATAAATCAAGGCTGATACTCCAGTACTATTTCGAGGAAGTGCTTCACTGTCGGAGGTGCCGTCTTTTGGTTAAACTAAGCTCCCCTACCCCAAACTCCCATCTACCCCCTTACCCCTACGTCCCACTGCTTTTCGTGGGAGCTTGCGGTACGTACAATTGGCTACCACTTTTTATATTGCAATATAAGCATATAACTTAACAAACTGGCTGAGAAGTCCAGCGGTGGTTTAAAATAAACTGCTATATGAATGCATGTCTTTCTTTCTTTAAGATTTTAATCATTACCAGGCCAAGAACAGAGAGCTCAAATATTTTATCATCTAATGAATGTCTTTCACAACTCTCGGATCCGGTAGAAGCTGAGGGTAACAAAAAGTCTGCTCCAGAGAGAAACTAGCCATTGAAACTTGATCAGGTTATAACGTGCTTGGAAAACGAGTAATGAATGAGGTTTAAAAAATAGCGTCTGTTGGTCTACGTGTTTCAAAGACTATTTAGAAATACATGATAGTTTTGCCTGACAGCAAATATTAAGTGTTGAAATATCTGTAGCACCATGCTTAATTTGAATATTTGTACATATATAATTTTAATTGCTGATATGTTTGCTACGGTTTTGTATTCATTCTTTCATAGACGGCGGGTGTCTCTGGCTGGGCCAACGTTTGTTGCCTATCCCTAATTGCTCTTGAGAAGGTGGTGATGAGCCATATATAATCACAGCCAAATTCTGGGTACTTTGTGGTTGAAGCATATGTGATTATTTTCCTGTGGCGAATCTAGACATCAGTCGTGTCTTAAATTCTGATGCAAAGGCAGCTGACGTTCTTGGGAAGCAAAATTTAGTAAGTTTCTTCATGCCTGTGTTCTCTTATTAATCTGGAATAAATTTCCCCATTAATGTTCAAACCCATTCTCAAACAAGTATTTAGCAATATTCTGTTTGAAGGAGTTAACCAATATCACATCAAGTGCTTGTACCTATAGTTGATAGCACAGATCATTTGGCCAAAAAGAAAGTATGTTAACCAACCTGTTATGACACACTTGTAGGCAGGTAGGACTTGAACTCAAAACGTCTGACCTACAGGGAGGGACACCTCACCATACCTCAACCTTCCAAGCTTAATTTGTCGATGTTGACATTTAGGCTCTTTGCAAGCCAGATCCCATTTCTTTTAATCATGTCCTTTTATTCCTCTCTTCCATGTTGGCTCACTTAACTGCTTCTTAATTGCAAGCTTTTTGATGGAAACCTATTCCAAATGTCCATCAGTGGATGTGGGAGGAAAATTGAAGGTGGCAATCTTAAATGAGTGGTCCTTGCTGTGATTTATGGTTAAATCATGTCCCTGCTTTCCTTGGCTACGTCCAAAGGAGGACAAAAGAAGGGGAAACTAATTTCCTCAGCCCCAAAATACAAAGAGTCAAATTAAATGTGAATTAGCTTCAAATTTATTTGATTTTTAGGAAATAATATTCAAATCTTAAACTGTTTGAATTATATTTTCTGCACGTAGTAATTTGACCATTGAAGGCAATGCAATGTTGTACAACTTGCTCAAAATCTTGGCAATAATGAGTCTTAAAATTAGGCCAAGTAATATAGTTAGCCAAATGAAGAGAGACGTGAAATTATAAGAGCAAAAACAATCTGAAAAATGCTGCCTAGAAACAAAAATGTATTTCTCCAATTTGACCAGAGGTGAAAAGCTACAGAGATCTCTTCTGGAGGGAAGATTCAGAGCAGCAGAAAGGGATTGACCTAGGCATAGTGGCCGACATATCACGGAGTGGTTCAGCCAAGCCACAATATATGTGCAGGACAAAATGAGCACGGCATATCATGCTACAAGAAGCAGTAACAGCAGACTGATAATTTGACTAGAAAATAAGTCGTGCGAGGAATATAACAAACCATCAGAATGGAGTGGGACAGTTAGTCTTTAACACCAATGGGAATATAAATCAATCATAATGTAATCCCAAGAGTAAAGGAATACTGACTAACTTCTCTTAGATGCCTAAATGTATAACTTAAAAATAAATGGGAGCTGTAAAACCATATATCAAACCACATCATCCATTTGTCCCTGACACTAAAGTTGACATTTAAAGGTGGAATATAATAGACACAGTTGACTTGTATTCCATTAATACCACTCAAATTTGTACAAGTAAGTTGCCTCTCCTTCTCCCTCCTCCAGCTGCCATCCATGTTGTGACTTCTAGCACTGGTGTCTCTGGGAAATTCAGAAAGGCTTGTTTTTATGTTTACAGAATAAAACCTGAAAATAAAAGTGCTCTAATGATATGAATTAGTGTCAACCTTTAACTATTTTCCAGGCAAATAAAAGTGGAAACATGTCACTCAATTTGAAATACATTTCACTGGGAGTTCTAGTTTTTCAGACAACCAGCCTCGTGCTGACTATGCGTTACTCACGTACATTCAAGGAAGAAGGACCCCGTTACCTAGCATCAACTGCTGTCGTAATCGCTGAAATGATGAAGATTGCAGCGTGCCTTTTATTAGTCTACAAGGATTCTAGTATGTACATGATTATAAAATGTATTCTTTCTGATTTAAGATTGTAGTAATATTTTCTAGCTTTAATATATAAAATGAAGCATTAGAATGTATGGAATGCCCCTGTCAAAAACTTCTTTCTTAAATTACCTTGTCAACTACCCTAATATACTGGTATTTGGAGGTCAGATCAGAATGAATAAAAAGAGTTGTGTATGAATCATAAATGCCGAATCGCAGAAAGCCTTAGCTGGACCTGTTTGTGTGCATTCCAAAGTCCCCTTTGGCTACGCCCCGGACATGCACCACTATTTCTCCTACTCAACCATTAAATAAATTGAAGAACTATTTTCATTGATTAATGATTCAGTAACATAGATTTGCAGATATAAAGGAATAAGTTAAGGCTATTTATTTAAATGTACGTGATAGTTCTAACACTGCTGGAAATTGAATCAATAACAGCCATTAAAATAGATTTGGCTAAATATTTGGCAAAAATAAATATGTCTGGCAAAGTGGTATAGAACATAGAAGTATGGAAATATTTGCAACACAGAAAGCGTCATTTAGTCCATTGTATCTGTGCTGGCTGCAAAAGAATTATCCAGCCTAATCTGGCCTTCCAATTCTTGCTCAGTAGTCTTATATTTATGGCCTCAGGTGAATATCCAAGTGTCATTCTTGTACAAGATTGGAGAGTTTCTGCCTCTCCCACCTTTTGAGGCAGTTCCACCCACTCTGTGGATGAAAAATTAAACTCTCATCCTCCCACCCCAATTCTACCAATTATGATAAATCCATGGCCTCCTGCTTAAGGAAATAGGTCCTTGTAATCTTCTGTCTCGGCCTTCAGTAATTTTCTGCACCTTGAATCTCCTCTTAGCCACCTTTTTGTTCCAAGGAAAGCCTAAGTATATCCAATGTTTCTTCATGGCCAAATGTCTTCATTCCTGGCAACATTCTTTTAAGTATCTTCTGTATTCTCACTTGTCCAATTCTATTCTCCTTATAATGGAATGACGCTCGAGCTACAGTTTAACAAGTGTCCAATATGTTTCTAACATAAACTCCCCTGTTCTTTTATTGGCTGAAGTATAGGATATAGAAAGACATTGCACATGTCTTCATGACTATTTTATCTCTCTGTCTTGATTCTTTTCAGGGATTTGTGAAAAAGTATTCCAAGCTTCCTCAGTTCTTCTGCACTTCCCAGAACTCCTCCATTTGTTGTTTATTTCCTTGCCTTGTTTGCCTTCCCCAAATATGTTTTGTCAGATTTGTCCAAATTGAATTCCATTTGCCATTTTTCTGCCTACACGACCAGTCCATTGACACCTTCCCATAGCCCAGAGCTTTCTTCCTTAATATTAAAGATAATAAAAGTGACGTTGATAATTCTATCACTCAGCAGCCACAGATGCAGTAGGTCACGTTACCTTTAGTCATGTTAGATGACGTGACTGATGCTTGGAATCCTGTAGGAGGGTAAACATTTTGGTTTACGTCAGTCAATTTACAAATACTAGATCTGTCTGTGCTCATCTCAGTTGGAAAAACTATATATAATCCATTATTGTAACTTGCTTTTCTATGAATTTCAAAGAAAGTGCTACGAGAAACTTCCCCTAATTACTACTTAAATTTCGATAACAATTTTCTTTTATCATCAATACTGCTTCCAGATTAGTTTTATGAATTTAGTTGTATTGTACTTTTTTAATGATTAGTAAATTTTTGTTTTAAAACCGATCGGTGAACTGTTTGATACAAATTGTAATCCTTTAAATAATTAAAAATGCCAGCATGAGCACTTTGAAAGCCAAGGTCTATTTATGCTATTTTCACCTTCTTTTCCCTTAGATTACAGTTTTAAAGCACTAAATAGAGTATTAAAAGATGAAATTATTAACAAACCAATGGATACACTAAAACTTGCCATTCCTTCTGGAATTTATACACTTCAGAATAACCTTCTTTATGTAGCGTTGTCCAATTTAGATGCAGCGACATACCAGGTGAGATATTTATCTCTTTAGCTTTTTTCCAGACCTCAAATCCAAATATTCTTTCTCTGTTTATGATTTATTTTTTCATGCATTTCTTATCTGGGAATAATGGGTTTTGGAGAATTTCACATTATTAATCTATTAACAATATTTCAAGACATGACTTGGTTGAAAATGTTAGTTTGTTTTGTTTTGTCAGATGACTTCTGAAAATTTCCACAAGGAGTATTCAGCAACAAAAACTTGCATAAATAGAACCATTAACATAGTGAAATATATCAGTTCTTCGCAGAAACATTATCAATCAAAACTTGACACCGAGCTACAGATGATGATATTGGCCTAAGTGAAGAGTTAACATTTAAGAAATGTCAGAGGAATATGTGATGGAGAAGCAGAGAAAATTTTGGAGGAAGTTCCTGAAGTTAGGTCCTGGATAGCTGAAGTTACAACTGTCAGTGGTGCAGTGATTAAAGTTGGTGAAACCTAAGAGACCAGAATTAGTGGAAAATAAAAACTGAAAAAACTGTGGATGCTGTAAATCAGAAACAAAAACGGAAATTGCTGGAAAGCCTCAGTAGGTCTGGCAGCATCTATGGAGAGGAATCAGAGTTAATGTTTCAGGTCGAATGACCCTCAAAACCAGTTTGACCTGAAACGTTAACTCTGATTTCTTTCCACAGATATTCCCAGACCTGCTGAGCTTTCCCAGCAGCTTCTGTTTGTTTCAGAATTAGTGGAGTGCAGGAAACTCTGAGAATTTTTGAATTGGAGGTCATTATGAAGATTGGAAGCAGTGAGCCCATGGTGATATTTGAAATTAAAGATGTGAATTCTAAAATTGAGACATTGCTAGAAACCCAAAGTTTTTGTAGCATTTAGCATTTGAGTGCATCAGAGGAATGATGAAATTGATTTTGGCATTGCAACTTTAAATCATGGAAAACCACTGACTGAGAAGGAACATAATCCAGGTCTTTGTCAAAATGAAAGACATGGGAATGAGAGTGAAGAACTGGAATATCTGAGTGCACAAAGAAAATCTCAAATTGCTGAAAGTTTAATGGAGATAAAACTTGATTGCTGGAACAGATTATCAACAATCAGCAAAGAAGGTTTAGTGCAACTTCAATTAACTTTTACAATGAAAGCATGATACCTATTAGGGAATACGTGTTTTAAGGATGATTAACTGAATTGAATGATTTCCTTATGCAGTTTTAGAATAAAGGCAGTTGTCATTATCAACAATCCTGAATTTAGAGGGTGACTGCCCCTTGTGGTTGGTTGGGTTGAATGAGATGTCAGTGTTGATGTGAATTTGCTGATGGCCAATGAGCCCTACTTTAACCTTGTAGCCTCAACAGAGGACATTAGCTTTCAACTGACCAGAGGTGGTTGGCTTGAGCAGCTATCCTGTCTTTCGTTCTCTCTTGCCATTGTCTCTCTGGCTAGTGCTGTTAGTTGAAAGGTCTTGACATGGTTCATTTTGGATGCGACTGGGCATCTTCTCCCATATGTTAATGTTAATAGAGCAGATCTGCGTGGAGGCTTTGAAGCAGTCTTTGAAATCCTCCCTTTGGATCCTCTTTGAATGGTATCCCTGGCTCAGCTTTCTGTAGAGTATCAGTTGTGTCTTGAGTCAGGCATTCTAATAAGATGTCACATCTAGTAGCTGATGTGAAATTGCATAGCTTCGACTCTATGCTTACATTAATGCTATCCTGTATCTTGGAAACGCTCATGCTTTGGTGGATCGAGGTAATCATGTGTTCAAGGAATTGTGAAAGTATAAAACCGTGGAAAACAACTGGCCACATTTCAATAACTAAGAGATACAAGTGTAGGTAGGATTTCTATATATTGTTAAATTAAATAAATTACTTGTTGTTATAATGTAACTTCTGTCATTTGCAGGTTACTTACCAGCTGAAGGTTCTTACTACAGCTTTCTTTTCTGTGACGATGCTTGGTAAAAACCTGGGTGTTTATCAATGGCTTTCGCTGTTAATATTAATGGCTGGAGTCGCTCTTGTTCAGGTATGCATATGAGCATTTCTCATCCTTTAAATTAGATTGTTCAGTCTGTGATATGTTTATAATTCATTCTAAAATTTGAATTCAGAAACTTAAATATTTGGCAATATAAGCTTCAATGGCTTTGTGCGATATTAGCAGTTATAGTGCTTAATTTTAATTATTGATTTTTTTTTTTTAGTCTCTGCAGCATGGTTTTTAAATGTTTGGCCATCTTAGAGAGCGTATGCACTTAGTTTTGAGCTTTCTGCTACATGTGTCTCTTGTGTATTTGGCTGGGAGAGTTGGCTAAGCCACTTGCTGTGTTTCATTGAAAGTATAGTGTGTCCTTGAAACATTCCAGCTAATTTTTCCTTCTCTCGAGTCACTTCAGAACAGAAAAAGTGTGGAGCTGTAATCTTTGACTTTGTTCTGGCAAAATGTGTTCATTACAGTATGATTTCATCAAGAGGCAATTAGATATCTTTCTGGAAAGTGAAGGGATTGTGTGTAATACAGTGCAAGAATGCGCAGGTGGGACAGAACTGATTTGGAAAAGGGATGAGGTTATTTAACTTTTACTTTCACATTGTTTTCCTATGGTTTATTTTAAAAACTGCGTCTTAGAATTCTGCTTGCATTATATTCTATTAGACCTTCAACAAAAGTTCTGTGGTCTGAATTATATGAAAATTTGGTCAAGTGTCTGTGTTGGGGAGTTTCATGGAGGGTTTACCTCCATGAGTCCTAGCAACTTTTCTTGTGTAATTTTATTCTGCTCACCACATGAAGGCCTCATTGGCACTGCTGTCATGCTAGCTTGCACTCAGGAGCGTGAAGTGCTCGGTGCCAGTATCTTCTGGGATTGCCGCCATGTGCACTGTGTTTTAAATCCCAACTTCACATCATTTCAAATGCTGCAATACAGGTACTGCTCTTCACCATTCATTTATCTCATGAATTCCAAAGGAGATTGTGTTCATGGCGAATTGGCATCCCACTGTATGGACAGGGACATGGTGTTCCTGGTAGACAGTGGTGGAGAGGAGGCCTGTCTTCTTTATACCCAGACTGCCCAAGTAGACCACTGTACCAGACTCTGCTAGCCTGAACCAAAGTTGCTACTTGGGTCAGCGCTGTTTCCATAGTCCTAAGGAATACCGAGCGGTGCTGGAGGAAAGTGAAAAGGTAGGTGCATCTATCTTTCCTCTGCCTTATACCGACTATAACTCGGGCATTGCACACATCTCCTTTCATAGCTCATGGTCTACCACACTCACTGTTGCATGCATCTTCCCTTGATTGCTCTAACCCAACCGCTTCCCAGAGAGCTCCCTCTTTCCCTCCCTCCCACCTCCCCCAACTTAAAAAAAAATCTACAACACCTTGTTCTCTGGCTTTCTACTCATCCGGCACACCTTACCTTCATCTGCATCAATACACAACAACAGTGCCAACTTTTATCTTAATTGCTCCCTTTGTCTCACTGCTGCAGTTAATGACCCATAATGGTGCTGAGCAGGCCAAGGCGGCTGTGGCCAACATTCATCTCCTCACCAGCATTCCCTGTAATTTTGTTTCTGTTTTCTGACGTCTGTGTGCAACAGTGAGCACATGATTGGCAGTAGTTGCTCTAGGAAGGAATGCTGCATTGTGCTGGCTATGATATGCATGTGTTTGGCTACCTTCATGGACAAGTAGGTAGCTGCCATGCAAACGTGCACAGGTCTGCGAACCTGTACACCTTAGTTAGCATTAACAGTAAGGCAGCAGGGAGATGAGGGACTTTCACCTCACTGCAGGTGCCCCTTTCTCTTGAGATAGGGTGGTGCCAGCAGGCACCCAGCTGGAGGAGGAACCACACACACATCCTGAGAAGTCTACTCTATGGGCACCTCCACCTCCAACCTGCCTGTAACCCTCAAAACTGTGGAGTTTCAAGCTGAGGAGGATGAATCTGCATCTGGCCAAGACACATTCAGCACATTTGGGCCCTTTAGGTACGAACACTGTCAGGGTAGTCCACTCAACTCTAAGGTCAACAGGATCTCTCCAACCCAGTTGCAGAAATTGGGACTGCAACCAGATCAAATCGTAGAATCTCTATAGTGTAATGCAGGTCATTCGGCTCATCAAGTCCACACCACCCCTCCAAAGAGCATCCCACGCAGACCCATCCTCCTACCCTATCCCTGTACCCCTGCATTTCCCATGACTAATCAACCTAGTCTGCACCTCCCTAGACATGATGGGCAATGTAGCATGGCCAATCCACCTAACCTGCACATCATTGGACTGTGGGAAGAAACTGGAGCACCTGGAGGAAAAGAGAAGGAAAAGTCTGAGGGCATCTAGGTGGCAAGGTTGACATCCTATCTACAATGTAGTATCACATTTATAAATATATTGACACTTTACACCATTACCTATCTGAATGGCTGTCATTTTAGCTGGTGATACAAGAATAGAGCTACAGAGGCTACCCTCCCTCAGAGTCATCGATGTTAGAAACCTGACTGAAGGGGTGCTACTCTTTCCCAAATGCTATTCATGGCGTAACATGTCATTGTTAAATTTGGAGCATCAGATGTTGTGAAACCTTCACTTGTCAGTGTTAGCTCTTATTGCATAATAGGAACAGCATAGAAACAATAAAAGCTGTGTTCACATTTGGGATTAAAAAGGGGCTGCTTGCCTTTCTTATCATCAACAAATTTACAGTCATTGAGTTATAACTTCATCCAACAAAGTTTTAGTTCAGTGCTGTCTGTCTTGTTGCATCTTGTGTTGCTGTGCTCAAGCCTGGTTCCTCCTACAAAAAAATTACAGCACAGGAACAGTCCCTTCGGCCCTCCAGGCCTCCGCCGCCACATTTTGCCCTTCCATACTAAAACTGTCTTCACTTACAGGATCCGTACTCTTCTATTCCCTTCCTGTTCATATATTCGTCCAAGTGCTTCATGAATGCTGCTATTGTGTCTGCTTTCACCTCCTCCTTTGGCAACGTGTTCCAGGCACTCCCCACTCCTTGTGTGGAAAAACTTGTCTCGCACAAGTCTTTTAAACATCCTCCCTGTGTCCCCTAGTAATTGACCCTCCATTCTGGGAAAAAGCCTCATACTTTCCACTCTATCCATGCCATTCACAATCTTACAAACTTCTATTAGGTCACCCCTCAACTTCCAGCATTCCAGTGAAAACAAACCCAGTCTCGCCAACATTTTTTCATAGCTAAAACTCCCCCATGCCAGGAAACATCCTAGTAAACCTTTTCTGTATCCACTCCAAAGCATCCACATCCTTCTGGTAATGTGGTGACCAGAACTGTACGCAATATTCCAAGTGTGGCCTAACTAAAGTTCTATAAAGCTGCAGCATAACTAGTCTCCTTATACTCAATGCCCCTTCCAATGAAGGTAAGCATGCCATAAGCCTTTTTTTTACCACCTTATCTACTTGTGCTGCCACCTTCAGTAATCTGTGGACCTGCACACCCAGATCCCTCTTCATATCAGTACTCCTAAGGGTTCTGCCATTCACCATATAATTTCCACTTCTACTTAACCTTCCAAACACATCACCTCACGTTTGTGCAGATTAAATTCCACCTGCCAGTTTTCTGCCCATGCCTCCAACTGATCTGTATGCTGCTGTATCTTCTGATAATCCTCCTCACTCTCTGCAACTCCATCAATCTTTGTATCGTCTACAAACATACTAATTAGACCAGCTATGTTTTCCTCTAAATCACTTATGTAGACCACAAACAGCAGAGGTCCCAGCACTGATTCTTGTGGAACACCACTAGTAACAACCCTCCATTCCGAAAAGCGTCCTTCCACCGCTGCCCTCTGTCTCCTATGATCAGGCCAGTTCTATATCCATCTTGCCAGCTCACCTCTGGTACCATGTGACTTCACCTTTATTTCCAGTCTGCCATGAGGGACCTTGTCAGAGGCTTTACTAAAATCCATGTAGACAACACCAACGGCTTTTCCCTCATCAATCATCTTCGTCACCTCTTCAAAAATCTCAATCAAATTAGTGAGGCATGACCTCCCCCGCACAAAACCATGCTGTCTATCACTAATAAGTCCAAACGCTTCTAAATGCGTATAGATCTTGTCCCTGAGGATCTTTTCCAATAATTTCCCTACCACTGACATTAGACTCAGGCCTGTAATTTCAAGGATTATCCCTGATATCCTTCTTAAACAATGGGGCACCATTGGCTATTTTCCAGTCCTTTGGGACCTCATCTGTTGCCAGAGAGGATACAAAGATATCAGTCAATGCTCCAGTAATTTGTTCTTGTGCCTCCCTCAATATTCTGGGATCAATCCCATCGGGACCCAGAGACTTATCTATCTTAATTTTTTAAGACACATAGCATCTCTTTCTTTTTAATGCAACTTGGCTTAAAAATTCGACAATCCCTTCCTTCTTCAGTATTTCTCCTAGAAAGGCTGTTGCCATTCTGCTAGCACTTTGCTTTCCCATACATCCATTCTTTTCTGCTCCAGTTGTCCAGAGCACACCATGTAAGGATTACGTGGTGCATTCTGCCTCTAGTATACAGCAAACATCAGAATCACCTCATGAGGAGGCCTGTTATTTGCCCCACGGTGGCCCACGTGAAAGAATGGGCTGTGTTCTGTCTATCCTTGGCAACAATTTAGGTTTGTGCTACAGTAGACAGCCATGAGAGGGTATCCCTGGTCTCTGAACAGCCATCCTTGTAAGGCCACTCCCTTGATGACATGACAGCTTCAGGGTCTCTGGCAAAGACTTCTAAGATGTGGTAACGATCATCATAGATGACTTGCACATTACCCAAACACAATCTTTTCCTATTAATGAAGTCAGTCTCATTTATGATATGGAGGTCTCAACACGATCTGTGTACCATCTAAGTGGACTACACCTGTTCCCACAAATGACAGAGTTTTGTTCTTATGTGCCAACACATCACTTTCAGCATCTTGCTCATCTGGTGGAAATGACATTGAGGATGAATAACTTGT